ACCAATAAGTAGCTTTTAACTAAAATAAAAATTGAGAATTTTTTTCCAGTCCACTGTAGAGATGTCCTGGTTTGTCTGGGATATAATCACAGCCCAGCCATGCTGGGCAGGCCGTTAGCAGTTTGGAGTCAGCCAGGGCAGCTGTCATGGTCATTATGAAAGGGTGAAGGTTTGCTGGTGAAGGGGGGCTCCTGTGGGGTTCCTGCTGGGGTTCCTCCTGCCCCTCCCTGCCCCTGAGGACTGCTCTCTGGTTGATTGTGAGGACTGGATATTTGTTTGGGTGAATATAGCTCTGTATATCTCTGTTGGTATTGGTGTTATCTCATTAAAATCTGTTCTCACTTCCACCCATGGGTCTCCTCTCCTTTTTCCTGATTCTCCTCCCTGGCTGGTTGGGTGATAAAGCGACTGTTATAGTTTAGCCCTGGGTACAGGCTAAATGTACACAAAAGGGTATAGAAAGCCCTTTGTAATGTGGAAAGGAAGAAAAAGATAGTGCTTGAATGAATCAAGCCCCCAAATTGGCTTCATGTTCTCTCTTTTAATTGTCAGATAAAAATTGAAAATCATTGTAATAGCAAGTAAGCATATACTAATGTTTTGTCCATATGTCTTCAATGAGCATTTCTCATTGTTGAATACTTTTTGTGCTCTTTCACTGCTGTAGCAGATATAGAGTTTATTTAAAAACAAACAAATCCAGCTTGTATGGGGGTTTTTTGTATTAATTGATGCAAATTTATTAATATAATTTTTTTTTTAATTTGGAACAAGTGTGATTGGGCATCTATGAAGTGTTCCAAATTTCTCATTTTCTTGCTAAGGAATAATTGTATATGCAGTTATGTGTCATCTTGTACATTGGCAGTGAGGATTTTATACTTTCGTGTTGTAGTCATCTTATCCAGAAGACTTGCTTTCACAGTGTTTTATTTGTTTGTTTAATTTGAGAGCAGCTCAGTGTCCTCTGCAAACATATCTGTGGTGAACTGGTAGAAACTGCAGACAGGTGTCAACACAGTAAAGTGTACACAGTGCCCAGAGTTCTGGTTAAGCTCGGCTGCAGTGGTACCAAGAATTAATGGTTTGGAAGAGGAAGTCTCTTCTTTTGCAGAATATCCTTACATTTTATGGCTGATGCAAACCGGCAGAATACAGTTATTGAACTAGTAATGTATTTATCCTTTGAGCAAACAGAAATTCATAGTTGAGGGTTATCTGGCACTTTGTGCTTAATTCAGGAATGCTCCAGGACTGTTTTGCTTTGTCCTGTTGACTCTTCTCATCTGAAAATACAGGAACAGTAATTTTGAAGGAAAAGGTTTTGAAATGGGCTCTTAGTTTGGGTGCATATTTCTGTGCGTTTACTTGTGTTTGGCATAACAGAAACACAGATGCTGGTATTATTTGATAAATACCCCACCTGTATGCAAGGAGAGACTTCTAAAATGTACTGTTACACCTGGCTGTACTCCAGATGGTGTCCATGTCTCTGTAGCATTTCCCAGCTTTTACAGACTCTCTGAGCCCTTGAATACTTGCACTTTGGATACTATATCTATGTTCCTTGATATTTTTTCAAGATGCTGAGGCACAAGCAGGTTCAAGACATTCTACGTCTCTTACTTCACAGAACAGAATCCAGTTTTATATGCAAAAAACCTCCTACAAGCTTTTAAACAACGAAACAGTTCAGAATTTAGTTTCCATGCACTCAACATTATGAGACGGTTGCCAAACTTTAGGTCTCCCAAGCGCTAAGGATTTTTTAAGGAAAACTGTAGTAAATTCAGTGCGCTGGTATTCAAAGTTGACCAAGAAGCGTTAAGTTTTAACTCTGTGACTTCACTGATGTGATGAGATGAATTAAGTACTGTTCTTCCTACTATACAGCTTTTCACACCACATCTGACAATAACAGCATTTTCTGTGTGTGTGTGAAGTCATTGCGTAATAAAGGATTGAATAGTGTTACACAGTGAGCAAACCTGATTTCTTCTTGAGCATGTGGTATTATAACTATCTGGCATTGCATAATCAAATGTGGTACCTTTCACGCTTAGGGGAAGGGACACTTCTGAATTTCCTTAGCTGGTAGCATTTTAAATTTAGGAATTGCGGAAAAGATTGTGTTCTCCAGAGTGACATTTACTTTTCACATTAGGTAATACACTGATTTGTTTTTTACATGTATACCTTCATACCTTATTTGAGATCAGGAGAATGTGTTGGAAGAGAATCTCCTGACTGTTCCCACTTATGTTTTGGTGATGTCATGGCAATGTCTTGGATGATGCAAACTGGACTATTTTAGATGGAAATGAATTGGAAGTTAACATGTGGACAGGGGCATGTAACCTTGTGGCCATTTGGTTCATGGAACCAGGTTAAGACTAGTATTAAGTAATTCCACTTCTCTCTTGAAATACATAAAGCAAGGATGTTGGGCCTGATGCACCGTTTGGCTGTACAAAGCTATTTCTTTCGGGCTGCACTGTTTGCTAAAGCTAAGCACAGCTCTTGACATTAAAGAAATATTCCAACAGACATTTGAGAGCTATCTGCTGGAAACGTGCAGTTGCTGTTCATTTTTTAAGGAAAATGTCACCCCTTTCCTCTGCTGATAATGTGCTTTGTCATTATGCAGACTATAATGTTTTAGAGTTGTTTTGATTAGACTCACAGTTGTAAAATACATCCTCCAAGATTAGCATGCAAATAATTTTTGTTTTAACGACAGAACGGCTCCACTTTTTATTTAATCCTGGGTTTAGGTTGCTTCTAATACACTGTACGTGCACTGTTGTTTAATCTTCATGTAATATACCTTCCTTTTTTTGTTCCCTGGGTGCAGAGGATAATTATGACAACTAAAGGTATGAATACGTACATTACAAATTATTTTTAATAATTTTGCTGTGTACAATGGAATAATATAGTTCTGTTGATCATTAGCTGCCTTTTTCAGCTTAAAATGAAATGTATAGTTTATAGTGGTTTTTACACATTTAAATTCTGTGCACAGTAGTGACAAGCAACCACACGATAGTTATTGACAGTTATTCTGAACTAGCTAAGCATGCTGATGTTGATTGTAAACTAATATAGCCAAATTCAGCCAAAATGTTTCTGGAAGATGTGTTTTAGGCCAAAATGACTCATAAGGAGAAGGAAACAAACATGAATTATTTCCCTCCTCTCCTTGCATGCATTCATCAAATCTCTGCATCTCAGCCAAAGAAATACTTATTTTCTTGGCATAGAAAAATTATCCTTTAATAAAACTAAGAATCTGCTTGCCTTCCTCCATTTAACTTTGAGAGAAACGTTTTGCTTTTATTATTTGCTCTAGTTATTTCCAGGGCTTCCCCTGGCTTTCTGTCAGAATGTTTGAATGATCGATGGTAAGGAAAGGGAGGGGAGACGGAAATAGGCACAGCTTAAGGCTGCACCTGCTGTCCCTGGAGTGGGCCAGTTTGGTACTGAGCTGCATTTAATTCAGTGCCCCAACTGCAGTGAGGCAAAACTTAAACTTCGAGTTATATTCTGATGTTTCATTGTTGTGTTTTATTGGGTGTGGGTGTTTTGGGTTTTTTTTTTTTTTTTTTTTTTTTGCTGTGATGAATTGAGCTGACAGCCATGGAGAGAATATTTCTTTTCTATTTTAAGTCAAAGAACACAGGCAATAGCCTTGCAGACCTTTTTGCATTGCCCTGATACAAGGGGTGACATACTTGTCGAAAGAGCATTTTAGTCTCCATTTCCATTTTGTCCTTGGAACTTATGCTTGGAGGGCATCACGAAATAACGAGACAAAAAGAACCCAACAGAACTTGCAGGTTTTGGCAGTAGCTGCTCACAGCACGGGGGTCTACTGCCCGCAGGGCACCGCGCGGAGGGGCAATACGACTAGCAGCACCAGGTCCAAGCCACTTAGCCTTTCCGAGGGGCCTGGATTATTTTTGCGCAGGGCAGCCCCGTACAAACAGAACCGTTCCCCTCCCGAAATCCTGCTCTCCTGGTGCTGCGGTGTTGCTTACCGGCCTGCGTGCTCTCCGGGCTTTTGCTGGCTGGAAACTTGGTGCAAAGTGCCGGCAGGCGGTTATTCGTCATCCCTACGTTTCGAAGCACGCTCAGTGTCTGCTGAAATTGAAACAAAATGCCGTCGCTCGGCCCCGCTGACGGCCCTCGGCCGCACCGAGGGCCC